ATTGCATGTGCTATAGAAAGGGAGCAAGACTGGCCCGGGCCATAGGGCCAGTCAGATGGCAGAGTTTAGGACCCACCTACGGTTTCCTGGGCCCTTGGGGCTGTATGGTTTCCTTTCTGATGTCACTTCCTATTAGCACATAAACAGCCTGGGTTTAACCCAGGACTGCACAGAGTCATGCTTAAGTAAAATTCCGAGGCTCTCTAGGCTTATTCGGAGGTTGTTTGCTTCGGCTTGCAGGCCCACTTGGCAGATTTGTTACTATTTGGGCAAGGGATGGTGATAACTGTGCAGCACCACTATGACCAGGCATTACTTTGTTATGTGTTGGTTTTGTTTATCCTAATAATTCCTGGGTGAAGGGCAGTATAGCATCCCCCATTTTCCAGATGAAGAAGGCTAAGAAGTGGAAGAGACTTACCCACAGACAGTGAGAGGGCTGTACATAGGCAGGAGCACCAACGAATCCCAGTGTGTCCCTGGCCCCTTCTGCAGGACCGTGGCTGGCCCGTCCTCCCATTCTTCTCTTCTCACCCACCTTTGACCCTGGGACCACTGGAGTCTTTCTGTACACTGCACATTATTTGTTTAAATACAAGACCACCAGGGCCGGAGGGTTTCATAGTGGAAACCCCATCCTTTACAAAAAGAAACAAAATTAGCTGGGGCATGGGTGGGGCACCTGGCATATTTAGTTCCATTCTGCTTGGGAGGCTGGGATGGTGGGAGAATCGCCTGAGGCCTCAGGCCGGTTGAGGGGCTGGCGTGGAGCCATGATTATGCCGCTGCACTTCAGGCCTGGGTTGACAGAATGAGCATACTGCTCAAAAAAAAAAAAAAAGATCCTTAAATAATAATAAAATATAAAAGTAGGGTAATAAAAAGGCCGGCCCTGTTTCTCCTTCACTCGGATGTGGTACGGGACTACGTGGTGGGCGATGCAAACTATGAAGTTGGTTTTAAGATTAAAGGTCTCTAGCTTGTATTGTATAATTTCTCCTATTTCTTTTTTTCTTTTCCCTGAGACAGAGTCTGGCTCTGTCGCCAGGCTGGAGTGCAACAGCACGATCTCGGCTCACTGCAACCTCTACCTCCTGGGTTCAGGCGATTCTCCTGTCTCAGCCTCCCCAGTAGCTGGCACTACAGGCATGCGCCAACACACCTAGCTAATTTTTGTATTTTTAGTAGAGATGGGTTTTCACCATGTTGGCCAGGATGGTCTAGCTCTCTTGACCTTGTGATCCGCCTGCCTCAGCCTCCCAAAGTAGTGGGATTGCAGGCGTGAGCCACCGCACCTGGCAATTTCTTCTGTTTCTAACTCTGTATTATTCTGAATTTTTTTTTTTTTAAAGGAGCACTGGGCCAAGCATGGTGGCTTATGGGAGTATTGCTTGAGCCCAGGACTTCTGGGCCAGACTGGGTAACATAGCAAGACCCCATCTCTGTATTTTAAACAAAACAACAACAGAAGGAGCACTGTGCATGTGTACATAGAAAACTGTATTCAGGCAATGCATAGGCTGTTGGATTTCGTAGTCTCTGGAGGAAGCACCTTAAGGCTTGTGAAATTGCCCTTTGCAATCTTGGTTTGAGTGGGAAAGTAGTGATGGTGTCTATCTTGCTGTCAACTACAAGCAACATTAAGTGGGCACTCTCCTAGGCTGTCACTGCAGGCCTAACTGGTGGTCGTCAGTTTGATCTGGAAGGACTGGCATGGGCTATCCACAGGAAGGATGGGGATGATGCACTAACAGGTTAACATGGTCTTTTCTTTCCTGGCTTTCTAGGATCCCATGGCAACTGTGGTAGAGGTCAGATCTAAGCCCAAGAGCAAGTGGCGGCCTCAAGCTTTGGACACTGTGGTATGTTCCGGACAGGCTGTTTCAGGCACTGGGGAAACACTGTTTTGAGGCCGTGGTTCTACTGCCTAGACTGTGGCTTGGTGGAAGAAAATATCACCCATCACCAGGCCACACAAGAAAATGCTTGAGAAAGACACGGTCCTGCTTAGCCTTACTGTTTGTTTTGTTTGTTTGTTTTGTTTTTGTAGACTCAGACTTCTGGGCCCAAGAGATCTCCCACTTCAGCCTCCCAAGTAGCTCGGACTATAGCCATGTGCCATGATGACCAGTTAATTATTTTTATAATTTTTTTGTAGAGACGGAATCTCACTATGTTGACCAGGCTGGTCTCAAACTCTTGGCCTCAAGTGATTCACCAGCCCCAGCCTCCCAAAGTACTGGGATTACAGGCATAAGCCACCACACCCACCCACTGCCTGGCCTCTTAATGGTTTTTTTTTTCTTTTTGAGATTTTTTTGAGATATTTTTTTTTGAGATGTTGCCCAGGCTGGAGTGCAATGGTGCGGTCTTGGCTTACCACAACTTCCGCCTCCCGGGTTCAAGCAATTCTCCTGCCTCAGCCTCCCGAGCAGCTGGGATTATAGGCATACACCACCATCAGGTGATCTGCCCACCTCAGCTTCCCAAAGTGCTGGGATAACAGGCGTGAGCCACCGCGCCTGGCTTTTTTTTGTTGTTGTTGTTGTTGTTGTTAACAACTGCGGCCGGGCGCAGTGGCTCAAGCCTGTAATCCCAGCACTTGGGGAGGCCGAGATGGGCGGATCACGAGGTCAGGAGATCGAGACCATCCTGGCTAACATGGTGAAACCCTGTCTCTACTACAAAATACAAAAAACTAGCTGGGCGAGGTGGTGGGCGCCTGTAGTCCCAGCTGCTCGGGAGGCTGAGGCAGGAGAATGGCGTAAACCCGGGAGGCGGAGCTTGCAATGAGCTGAGATCCGTCCACTGCACTCCAGCCTGGGCGACAGAAGGAGACTCCGTCTCAAAAAAAAAAAAACAATTGCAATGTAACTGCATTGCATGAGATTTGGGAAACAGGAAGACAACCATCCTTACATAATTATTAGTATCTCTTCCAGTTTTTTAACATGCATGTTTTTACAGCATTATAACTAAAGTAGCTTGTATTTTCCACGCAAGCATTTTTTCATGTTGCTGCATAATCTGTGTAAATATTACTTTAAATAATCTGCTATATGAACCTACTTTAGAACAGGGCTTCTCAAATTATTTGACCCCAGGAAGAGCCACCCTGACGGAACACAAGTCTGAGTAAATCACATTAGGAGTATGCCTTCTCAGTCACCACTTAACAGGAAAATTTGGGATAGAATTACTATTAGAATTCACTCTGAAGGTTGGACGTATAGAACACTAAGGCTAACAAGCATGCAGGCTAAGAAGCACGCAGGGACTGGTGGGCAGTGCATTCTTTGTCTTGGGCAAGCCACAGTAAATGTGTATATGTGTGGAGGGATTGCATGGGGGCAGTTATGCATTTTGTTTGCTTGTTTGTTTGTTTTTTGAGAGGGAGTCTTGCTCCTGTCGCCAGGCTGGAGTGCAGTGGCGTGATCTCGGCTCACTGCAGCATCCATCTCCCGGGCTCAAGCGATTCTCCTGCCTCAGCCTCCTGAGTAGCTGGGACTACAGGTGCATGCCACTACACACAGCTAATTTTTATATTTTCAGTAGAGGCGGGATTTCACCATGTTGGCCAGGATAGTCTCAATCTCTTGAACTCATGATCTGCCTGCCTTGGCCTCCCAAAGTACTGGGATTAGAGGCATGAGCCACCACGCCCAGCTGCATTGATTTATATAGTAGGCTTATGTTTTTTAGTCCTCACTGGTTAAGTATGCTTTAGTGTGACATATAGTCATCAGCACTGTTAACTTGTCACCTAGGGAAAAAAACATCTGTTATCCCCCAGGAGGCCTCCTGGGGTTTTCACCCTCCAGGAGAATTTACCAGGTCTTGGGTGGTGTTCCCAAAGTGTGGTTCTCAAGACTTTCTGTGTTTGAACAGTGTATTAGACGGCTTTGTTAAAAAATGTAGATTTCAGCCTGGGCACAGTGGCTCAGGCCTGTAATCGCAGCACTTTGGGAGGCTGAGGTGGGCAGATCACGAGGTCAGGAGATCGAGACCATCCTGGCTAACATGGTGAAACCCCATCTCTACTAAAAATACAAAAAATCAGCCAGGTGTGGTGGCAGGTGCCTGTATTTCCAGCTACTCGGGAGGCTGAGGCAGGAGAACTGGCATGAACCCAGGAGGCAGCGCTTACAGTGAGCCGAGATCGCGCCACTGCACTCTAGCCTGGATGACAGAGTGAGACTCCATCTGAAAATATATATATATGTAGATTACTGGGCCAGAGGTGGTGGCTCACGCCTGTAATCACAACATGGCAAAACCCCGTCTCTACTGAAAACACAAAAATTAGCCAGCTGTGGTGAGCGCCTGTAGTCCCAGCTACTCAGGAGGCTGAGGCAGGCGAATTGCATGAACCTGGGAGGCAGAGGATGCAGGGAGTCGAAATCGTGCCACTGCACTGCAGTCTGGGCAACAAGAGCGAGACTCGGTCTCGAAAATAAAAAAATTTTTAAAATGTAGATTTCTGGCCAGACGTGGTGGCTCACGTCTGTAATCCCAGCACTTTGGGAGGCTGAGGCGAGCAGATCACCTGAGGTCGGGTGTTCAAGACCAGCCAGGCCAACATGGCGAAACCCCATCTCTACTAAAAATACAAAAATTTGCCAAGTGTGGTGGTGCTGTAATCCCAGCTACTTGGGAGGCTGAAGCAGGAGAATCACTTGGACCCAGGAGGTGGAGGTTGCAGTGGGCCAAGATCATGCCACTGCACTCCAGCCTAGGCTACAGAGTGAGACTCCGTCTCAAAAAAAAAAAAAAATGGAGTTTTCGGCTGGGTATGGTAGCTCACACTTGTGATCCTTGCATTTTGGGGGGTCAGAGAGGGAGGATTGCTTGAGGCCAGGAGTTCAAAATCAGCCTGCACAACATAGCAGCTTCCCCAGTGGTCAGGGCCCCAAATCTGCTGGCTTCCCAGTTGAGTCCTGCACACATTAAAGTCTGAGAACCACTAGGCTAGGATCTGACTCTGCCTGGCAGGCCCAGAAATTGTTGTTGGGCAATCTTTTCCACTCTGTTTGACAGAAGCATCTGGAGTGACAGGGGCTAGATTTGACTGAAGGTGAGTTGTGTATTTGAGTTGTGCTGCCTGACTCATGCAATACACCTAACATCCCTGTTGACCCATTTCACAGGAGCTTGAGAAGCTGGCTTCTCGAAAGTTGAGAATAAATGCTAAAGAAACCATGAGGATTGCTGAGAAGCTCTACACTCAAGGGTAAATATTCTGGATTTGGGAGTAGAATTTGAACCGTCTTTATCAGGATGAAATATTTTAGAAATAGAGTTTATGGGCCAGGCGTGGTGGCTCACGCCTGTAATCCCAGCACTTTGGGAGGCCAAGGCAGGCAGATCATGAGGTCAAGAGATCAAGACCATCCTGGCCAACATGGTGAAACCCCGTCTCTACTAAAAATACAAAAATTAACTGGGCATGGTGTGGTGTTGCACGCCTGTAGTCCCGGCTACTGGGGAGGCGGAGGCAGGAGAATCATTTAACCCAGGAGGCGGAGGTTGCAGTGAGCTGAGATTGCACCACTGCACTCCAGCCTGGGTGACAGAGCGAGACTCCATCTCTGGGAGAAAACAAAAATTACAAATAGAGACTGGGTATGCTGGGTCACACCTGAAATCCAAGCACTTTAGGAGGCCTAGGCAGGAAGATCGCTTGAGCTCAGGAGTTCGAGACCAACCTGGGCAACATAGCAAAACCCTGTCTCTACAAAAAAGAAAAATTAGCCAGGCATTGTGCCACACACTTGTAGTCCTATCTGTTCAGGAGGCTGAGGCAGGAGGATTACTTTAGCTTGGGAGACGGAGGCCACAGTGAGCCAAGATCGCGCTGCTATACTTCAGCCTGGGCACCACAGCAAGACTATCTCAAAAAGAGAAAACGAAAAACAAATAGAGTCCACATTACAGTTTTATCGGACAGCATTATTCTTTGTATACTCTAAGAAAAGTCTCGAAGCACACGCTGGTGGAACTTGTCAGGGTCAGTGAGGCTCATGTGCTGCATCAGGGTTGGTCTGTCAGACTGACCCTCAGAGTGGCCAGTGACAAGCCCCAGGCTCTGAGGCTGCTGGCCTTTATCCTGTGCTGTGCTGCCCCTTTTGTTTCTCCTTTGGCTTCTTTTGAGTGTCCTAGCAGGAGAGCCAGCTGCTTTTCACCCCATGAGTGGGTGCATCTCATCTCAGAACTTTTCTGAATCAGGTAACCCAGGTTGCCTTCAGTTGAGTTGGCTACATCAGATGAGTGTTTATAGGTGTTAGTGGGTGCTTTCAGTTGTTTAATGACCAATCAGAGCGCCTAGCAATTTCTTTTTCTGTTTGTTTGCTTTGGTTTTAGGTACATCAGCTATCCCCGAACAGAAACAAACATTTTTCCCAGAGACTTAAACCTGACGGTGTTGGTGGAACAGCAGACCCCCGATCCACGCTGGGGGGCCTTTGCCCAGAGCATTCTAGAGCGGGGTGGTCCCACCCCACGCAATGGGAACAAGTCTGACCAAGCTCACCCTCCCATTCACCCCACCAAATACACCAACAGCTTACAGGTTGGTTTCTCTGAATGTGCTGCCTGCTGGAACCCAGAGGGAAGTGCTGGGGGTTGGTAGTAAGATTTGAATTTACTCTGTGGGCTGTGATCTTGAGATCTCTCTCATTTCGCTTGCTTTGATGAAAGACCGCTTCACCCTTCCCTGTGATGGGCCCCCGTCTTAATCCAGCCCCACCTCCCCACTCTCCGTCAGCTCCTGCTGCTTCCCTGCTAGTCCTTCATAGGCAACCTAGGTACCTCTCCTCCCCACACCACTATGCAGACCCCTACCCCCACTGTGAGCCTTGTGGCCTTCCCAGTCCCTGAAACTAGAGAATTCTATCCATCCTCCCAAGGCTGGCTCAGTTTTGGTTGCCTCCTGAAACTTTGCTGCCACCCCAGTCATGCCACCCCACGTCATTGCAGTTCCCCACTCAGCTCTTCTTGTCTGTCTCAGTCATTCAGCCAGGGGCAGACTCTGCAGGCACAGGAGCCATTAGGCTTGTTTACATCTGTAGGCTTCTCACAAAGCTGGGGAAATCTTAGTCTTGTGTTCTTCTCCTCCTTCTTTTAATAACATATATTCTTTCTGATTTTAAAAATATGGCCAGGCGCAGTGGCTTACGCCTGTAATCCCAACACTTTAGGAGGACACGGCGGGTGGATCACGAGGTTGGGAAATTGAGACCATCTTGGCCAACATGGTGAAAACTTGTCTCTACTAAAAATACAAAAATTAGTTGGGCGTGGTGTCGTGTGCCTGTAGTCCCAGCTCTCAGGACGCTGAGGCAGAAGAATCACTTGAACCCGGGATGCGGAGGTTGCAGTAAACTGAGATTGCACCGCTGCACTCCAACCTGATGACAGAGTGAGACTCTGAAAAAAAAAAATTAGGCCGGGCGCGGTGGCTCAAGCCTGTAATCCCAGCACTTTGGAAGGCCGAGATGGATCACGAGGTCAGGAGATCGAGACCATCCTGGCTAACACGGTGAAACCCCGTCTCTACTAAAAAATACAAAACAATATTAGCCGGCCGTGGTGGCGGGCGCCTGTAGTCCCAGCTACTCGGGAGGCTGAGGCAGGAGAATGGTGTAAACCTGGGAGGCGGAGCTTGCAGTGAGCTGAGATCCGGCCACTGCACCCCAGCCCGGGCGACAGAGCAAGACTCCGTCTCAAAAAAAAAAAAAAAAAAATTACATGTTCATTTTAGACAATTTAAGAGATACAAAAGATAAGGGAGGAAAAATTGCCTATTAAGCATGATATTTAACAATTGCAAAGATGTGCCATAATTTATTTTGCCAAATCTGTTTTTTATGTTTTTGATACTATAGTTAACATTTGTAGACATAAATATTTTTGTTGTTCTCCAGTTACTTCCTTTGAAGAGATCCGTAGAAGGGGAATTATTGGATATGTGTATAAATGTCTCATTTTGATAGAGTGAGACTCACTAAATCATTGATTACCTAATTGAAAATTACCCTGACAAATTACTGCTTAAACGTGTGCATGAAGTTGGGCTAAGGCCACCAGGTGCAGTGTTGCTCTGTCTCTTGTATTTGAGGAGTCTCTTGCCAACTTCTTATGCTTTCATCTTGTTTTCTGCTTAGATTGGGTTTACATCAAAGAACCACTCTGAAGGGGAAGATTACTCCCTTGCTTATCTTTGCCAGATTTGAGTTGTGAAAGTGTCAGCCTAAACCTATCCTCTCCCCAGGACTTATTTGCCTGGCACTCCATGTTAGTGCAGGGCCTGAGGAGCAGTGTGGCCTCTTCTGTGCTGGACATTTGGCTAAGGCTACCAGCGATGCTCCTGTCCTTGAGAGGTGATATTCTAGGGGGAGTTTCAAACTCCTCTTTTCTTCCTAGGGAGACGAACAGCGACTGTACGAGTTTATTGTTCGCCATTTCCTGGCCTGCTGCTCCCAGGATGCTCAGGGGCAGGAGACCACAGTAGAGATCGACATCGCTCAGGAACGCTTTGTGGCCCACGGCCTCGTGATTCTGGCCCGAAACTATCTGGACGTGTATCCATATGATCACTGGAGTGACAAGGTGATCAAGAGTGGTCCCCAGGGAGAGGGAGGACAGTTGTGTTGCGAGTCCTGAGTTCTCTAGTGGAGCAGGACCGTGTTCCTTGAAATGAGGTTATTTTTTGCCTGAGTGTGATAATGGAATCATCTGACTGCTGCACCTGCCGCTCCCTGTAGATCCTCCCTGTCTATGAGCGAGGCTCCCGCTTTCAGCCCAGCACCGTGGAGATGGTGGATGGGGAGACCAGCCCGCCCAAGCTGCTCACCGAGGCCGACCTCATTGCCCTCATGGAGAAGCACGGCATTGGTCAGTGGCTCCTCTGGTTAACTCGCATCTCTTGAGCACTTACCGTGTACCAGGCACAGGTTTCCTCTAGTCTTCAAACCATTGTCTAATGCAGCTGCTGTATCTTTATCCCCATTTTATGGTTGAAATAAGGCTCAGAGAGGTTAAGAACTTACCTAAGTTCACAAAGTGTGTATTATTAAAACCTGGTCTGAATACCTCCACAGTCAGTGCTCTTAAACCATGCACTGTGCTGTGCACGTAGTAAGAGACTTTTCCCATGGCTTTGAGGGCCCAACTGGGAGCACCTGTTGGCCACATGAGGATTTGTTCTTTTGAATAAGAACAGCATGTAAGGAACCAACAATTAAAACTTAGGACAGTCATCATAAAATCTGTTTTCATTTTGAAGTGTCAGATCTGGCTCCTCCTTCCCGTGTGGAGTATTGTGTGAGGGTGGCAGCTGTCTCTGCAGGCCTGCACCCACACTGCTCAGTCAGGCTGCTCACGCTGGCCTCATGTATGTGCCAGGACCCTGCTGTTAGCTATGGGTGACTGGATTCTTAGCCTTTTGTTAAAGCATTTCCCATAATTGCTTAGGAATCAGAAACTAGGTTTTAATAAAACACTGGGCCAGAATTGTGTTATTCCCAATAAGTCCCATGGTTCAAGCTTTGCAGATAGGTCCTTGTAACTAATCTGCTGTCCCCTCCATTCGTTTTTCTCAAGGCTCTCAAGGGCTTTCTCTGGCAAGCCTAGTCCAGGAATACCAGCAGCACAGTGGAGGGAAGCAGAGCTCTCTGGGCATGTGTTACAGAAGCAGCTGCCTCACCCACGAAGGGAGTTTCTTAGGCCTATGACTTAGGAAGCAGTGCTCCAGCGTGGAGTCCTTGACCATCACTAGGACATCCAGAAACCCTGCAGGTTTAGGTAAAATTAGTAGAGGTTCACCCATCATGATTTATTTGATAAAAATGTATGAGGGCTGGATGCGGTGGCTCACACCTGTAATCCCAGCATTTTGGGAGGCCAAGATGGGTGAATCACTTGAGCCCAGGAGTTCAAGACCAGCTTGGGCAACACGGTAAAACCCCATCTTGCTGGGCGTGGTGGCTTACGCCTGTAATCCCAACACTTTGGGAGGCTGAAGTGGTTGGATCACCTGAGGAAGGGAGTTTAAGACCACCAGCCTCACCGACATAGTGAAACTCTTGTCTCTACTAAAAATACAAAAATTAGCCAGGCATGGTGGTGGACACCTGTAATCCAAGCTACTTGGGAGGCTGAGACAGGAGAATCGCATGAACTCGGGAGGTGGAGGATGCAGTGAGCCAAGATTGCACCACTGCACTCCAGCCTGGTGACAGAGTGAGACTCCATCTCAAAAAAATAAACCATCTTGGCTGGGCGCGATGGCTCAAGCCTGTAATCCCAGCACTTTGGGAGGCCGAGACAGGCGGATCTGAGGTCAGGAGATTGAGACCATCCTGGCTAACACGGTGAAACCCCGTCTCTACTAAAAATACAGAAAACTAGCCAGGTGAAGTGGCGGGTGCCTGTAGTCCCAGCTACTCGGGAGGCTGAGGCAGGAGAATGGTGTAAACCCGGGAGGCGGAGCTTGCAGTGAGCTGAGATCACGCCACTACACTTTAGCCTGGAGGACAGAGTGAGACTCCGTCTCAAAAATAAAAAAAATAAACCATCTCTACAAAAAATTAGGTGCATGCCTATAGGTAGGGAGGCTGAGGTGGGAGGATCACTTGAGCCCGGGAGGCAGAGAGTGAGGTACACTGAGATTGAGCCACTGCACTCCAGCCTGGGCAACAGAGCGAGACCCTGTCTCAAAAAAAAAAAACAAAACATGAGGCCCACAATAGTGAGAGCTTGGACTAAGCACCAGAGACACAAAGAAGAATAAGACCTCATTTTTTAACTTCTCAATCTAACAGAAGAACCAAACCAACACATTGAATACAATGTAATGGGTTCTGCAGGGAGTAGGCAGGGAAGCAAATGTCATGGGTAGGCTGGCGTTTGAGCTGGACCAAAACTTCATAGTAAGACTGCTGGATCAACGAAGGGCAGCCCAGTGCAGGGCAGGCCTGAGGAAGGCACAGGAGCAGGAAAGCAAAAGCCTGCTGTAGCTGGATTGGGGGTGGTGGCCATAGAAGGTGTCTGGAAAGATGATCCAAGCCTGACTTTACAGGGCCTTGGCTTGCCCAGTTGAAGGGCTTAGATGGTGATACGTGGTCATCAGGGAGTCTTCTAGGATTTCTAAGTAAAGGAACCACGGAGAGGTACACTTAACAAAAAAAACCACAAAATAATATTTTTAAAAGATTATTAACAGACTGGGCATTGTGTCTCACACCTATAATCCCAGCACTTCGGGAGGCCAAGGCAGGGGGTCAGGAGTTCAAGACTTGAGGTCAGGAGTTCAAGAGCAGCCTGGCCAATGTGGTGAAACCCCATCTCTACTAAAAATACAAAAAATTGATGGGTATGATAACTGACGCCTATAATCCTAGCCACCCAGGAGGCTGAGGCAGGAGAATTGCTTGAACCTGTGAGGCAGAGGTTGCAGTGTGCCGAGTTTACACCACTGCACTTCAGCCTTGGTGACAGAGACTCCGTCACACACACAAAAAAGATTATTAACAGTCTTATTTATATACCGTACAGTTCATCTCTTTCAAATGTATAATTTACATTTTTTAGCGTATTTACAAAGTTGTGCAGCTATCACCATAGGTTTTTGGGTTTTTTTGTTTGTTTGTTTGTGATGGAGTTTTACTCTTATTGCTCCAGCTGGAGTGCAGTGGTGCAGTCTCGGCTCACTGCAACTTCTGCCACCCGGGTTCAAGCGATTCTCCTGCCTCAGCCTCCCCAGTAGCTAGGATTACAGGCACGCACCACCTCACCCAGCTAATTTTTGTTATTTTTAGTAGAGACAGGGTTTCACCATGTTGGCCAGGTTTGCCTACTTTAGTTATTTCCTATAAAGAGCCAGGCACAGTGGCTCACACCTGTAATCCAGCACTTTGGGAGGCCAACGTGGCAGATCACTGGAAGTCAGGAGTTCGAGACCAGCTTCGCCAACATGGTGAAACACTGTCTCTACTAAAAATGAAAAAATTAGCTGGGCTTGGTGGCAGGTGCCTGTAATCCCAACTACTCGGGAGGCTGAGGCAAGATAATCGCTTGAACCTGGAAGGCGGAGGTTGCAGTTGATGGACACTTGAGTTGTTTCTAATCTTTGGCTATTATAAATAATCCTGCTGTGAACAGTTTTGTACAAGGTTTTGTGTGAACATGTGTTTTCATTTCTCTTGGGTAGACTTAGGAGTGGGATTGCTGGTTTACATGGTAACTCTACATTTAACATTTTTAGGAACCAGTACACTTTTTTTTTTTCTCTCTGAAGTGGCTGTACCATTTTTTGTTTCCACCAGCAAGGCACTAGGATTCCGGTTCATCCACATCCTTACTTAGTATTATCTCTCTTCTTGATTTTGCTGGTAGGTGTGAACTGCTATTTCATTGTTTTGCCCCTGAGACCCCTCAGGGATCTTGGGCGACACCACCCACTACCCACCTGCAAGCTCTGTCCTCCCTTACCTGACCACAAGTCCCATGCCCCGTGCCAGGGAGGAACCGCTTGTCTGGGGTGAGTCCCACGTACATCCGAGCTTTGATGGTCTCGATGTGCTCCGCATGAGTGGACATCCGTACCTGGAAGCCATTTGGCTGGTTACTCTGAGGTAATACATACAATAGCTCCCACCCGGGTGCGCAGCCATGGGCACCTTGCTCACTCCGGAACCCCTCCCGTTTGCCTGGACAGCCGTATATAGGTACAGATGCCTTCACTTTCATTCCCAATATAGTCATTCAGAAGTAAATCGCGAATGGCAACTCAACGTCTCTGCTCCCATCACATCATTACTTCAGGGAAAGTGTGTCATTCCAGCTTCAAAAGCTCCTTTTAAAAAGTTCTCCTTTCCCCATGTGTCCAAGCCCACAGTTGCAGGCTTGGTGTCCCGTATTTCTAGTCTCCTTCCTCTACCTCTTAAACTATTCTTTAAGCTTTTGGCTTAAAGGGATCTTTCAAGAAAGTAGCTCTGGCGCCATGAAGAAAATGGCAAATTTAAAAACTGCCACGTGAAGGCGCTGGGAGCAGTGCTCCGCCTGTAATTGCAGCACCTCCTTGGGAGCCAAGTGTGCAGGCAGCATCACCCTGACGTCAGGAGCGTTCGAGGACCCAGCCTGGCGCAACATGGTCGAAACCCCATCCCTCTATCAATGAGACAGGATACAAAAAGGATTGAGCTGGGCTGTGGCGGCATCGCGGCCTGTGCCAGGTCCAGGCGGGCTCAGGAGGCTGAGGCGAGAGAGAATCACTTGAACCAAGGAGGCAGATGGCTGCAATGAGCCAACGACTTGCCGCCACTGCTACTCCGCCTGGGGGTGACATGAGGTGAGACTCCGTTGCTTAAAAAAAAGAAAAAAAAAGGGCCAGGTGTGGGTGCAGCTGGCTCATTGCCTATGAATCCGCAGCACTTTGGAGCAGGCTGACGGTGGGGCAGATCACAAGTCGGAGATCAAGACCATCCTGCTAACATGTGAAACGCGCATCTGCTACGTAGAAATACAAAAAAAAAAAACAAAAAATTAGCCCTGGCGCTTTTCTTGTGTGTTGTGGCAGGCGCCTGTAGTCCAGCTACTCGGACGGCTGGAGGCCAGTGAGAA